TTTATACCAAGGTCCGTTGGTACCTTTACCATCTCACTTTTTTACCAATTATTGGTAATTTTACCAAGACAGACTGGTAAGCTTACCTAAAAACCGGTATTTTTACTGTTTTTTTTCAGGTAAGAATACCACTTTTATTAGTAAGCGATTCCCGGTAACTTTGCCATTTTATCTCTGTAATTCTACCAAAGTCGATAAAAAATATTGGCGTTTTTACCGGGGTCCAGTAAAATTACCGAGAAAGTCAATAATTTTACCGAGCTTTCTCGGTAAAATTACCAAGTCCATAAGTGGTAATTTTACCCAGAAAAAAACTGGGATCAAATAGAACCCTGAATTCTTGGTAATTTTACCCTTTTCTTAGTAGATACACAAAGATTTTTTTTTCAGTGTATGTGTCTTGGTTCCTTTCTGTTGAACGCGGTCCAGTTGTGAGTATACTTCTCTGCGAAATCTTCAGACGAATCGGATTTCATTGTCCATGACTGTCCATAAGTATTTCGCAAAAAAATGTAAGTATGCATATATGGTCTCGAGAAAATTCATTTTTTATCGGCAGAGATTTGGCAACGCTTGGATGTTGATACGAAGTTCTTCCTTAACACGGCAGTATTGAACGAGAATTTAATGAATATGGCTCGTGGGCCCTGGGCCGCGTCGCGCTGCGCTGGACCTCGCCGTGAAAGAGGAGCTCTAATCTCTCTGCCGGGTCTTTTCTTCCTCTCGATGGGAGGCTACGGAAGTTTGAAAAAAAAAAAANTTCGTGATCTACGACCCGTGATCGGTGCTCTTCACAATGTCTCAGGTCTGGGTCCGACATCATGGGAGAATGCAATAGTGTATTTCCTTCGGAAAATACACTAAAAACCTGACCAAGAAATGTTCCAGAAGGGGGAAAGGCAGATTTTTAACAGTAGAAAATATTGTTTTAGGAGTGAGAAGAAATTTAGTCGGGAAGTACGAGGATTTACAGTCCGAAAAATTGATTTAGGATAGGCGAGCAGAAACGAATTTCTCCCAGGAAAAATATTTTATCCGCCTTGAATGAAATTATATCGATTGTCGGGCCAAGGAATAAAAAATGGGAGGCTCCTCATTGAGCTGTTCTTCGAGACAACTTTTTCTCTCACCGCGGTATCGTGAATATTGGCTCGCATTACTGAATAAACGTTAAAATAAATCGATTGCTGGGAATTTCGGGGGAAGGTTGGGGGGGGGGGGGGAGGAAAAAAAATGATGACATCATCAAAGGATGCTTTGATGACATCATGAGGAATGTTCCCATGACGTTTTCAGCTTTGACCAGTGAGGCGGAGTGCGAAAAAAGCGGCCCCTCAGTTGAAAATAGCCAGGGTGTCCACTAAAACCAGCTGGCCAAAAAGCAGTACTTTCACAGTACTTTTTCAGTACATTGCCAAGAAATTGAAAACCTCCTGAATAGAAAAATTCAATACTTTTTCAGTACCTCCAATTGACGAAATTCGAAAAATTTCAAAAAATTGAATTTCTTGCTCAAATTGCAACAAAAATGGCAAAAAATGAGAAAAAACTCAAAAAAAAACCAATACTTAAAAAAAATACTTGAAAAATTCAATACTTTTTCAGTACCTCCAATTGACAAAATTCGAAAAATACTTGAAAAATTCAATACTTTTTCAGTACCTCTAATTGACGAAATTCGAAAAAATTCAAAAAATTGAATTTCTTGCTCAAATTGCGACAAAAATGGCAAAAAATGAAAAAAAACTCCGAGTCTTCTTGCAAAATTTCCGCACTTTTTCAGTACTTCAAGACCGCCCTTAGAAAACCGGTACTATTTCCGGAAATTCCGGACTAGTAGACATCCTGATAGCCAAAAATAGCTAGGAAATTAAATCTGAATGTGACGAATGGTTGAAGATGCCAAAGAAGGAAGAGAGGAACGGTAGAAATAGAGGGTTGCGAAAGAAATTAGAATTTCCTAATGAACATAATTTGATAAGATTAAGGACTATGTAACGAGCGAACAAACTAACGGTGAAAGTGTTTGCGTTGCCTTTTGATTGCCTAGCGCACGCTGCGGTGAGAATGAGGCACGCCCGTGCGCCTTCATTCCATTGCCTATGCAACGCAGACGGCACCAGAGCTGATATAGTTGCATTCAAGAGTTGTAATGAACATCATGGCCTTTGACGCTCTTCTGGGTACATCTAGTTCCATTTCATGCCATTATAAAGCAGATGTAATGGTTTTCAAACTTCTCGTGGAAAATTCATCCTACAAACATCCTACTCTCCGGGCAAAAAAATTAAACAATCATATGCGCACATACCCTTTGAAATTTAAATAAAACCACATGTTGTTAGATATTAACGGAAACTATGCTTCCGATTTTATGCGGCGAACAATAAATGAGACAAGGTTTCAACGTAGCAAATCGCGATATATGTTTTTCGACTGACACCATGCGTGGTTTTGTTGGCGACTGAAGAAAGTCGGAACTCAATACTTTTGTTTACACATTTTGCTATAGTTTATGTATGTTACGATAACCTACATGTGTGAAGTCAGCTATTTTGAGGGATATTCCTTCATAATTTAAATTTGAATATCGATGTCGAATTGGTATCCAATTGTATGAAGAAGTCTGCATCAAAAGCTGTATTTAAAAACATAGAAATGACCTTATGCTCGTAGTATACTTACTATACCAAATTAACGGTCAAACTATATTGTTATCGATGGTTAAAAAACGCGCACACGGGACAAAATTGACACCTAGGGATGGAAAACCGCGCAGAGCTCGGTTTTGTGGGGATTAATCACGAAAGAAAAAGTTTTGGTTTCAGACCTTGCCAAACTTCTAGCGCAGACTTCAGAGCTGGCGATCTCGGGAGAAAAACTTTGGTAAGATAAGCGACGGTCCTCCTAGAACTCCCGCAATCTTTTCGCAAACTTGGGCGTTATTTACCTTTTTCCCGTCCAAATCAATCTGCTTGGGTACATGCTGAAGACCGAATGTGGGTAACTTTCCGAACTACAAGTCGTAAAGCTCACCTTGCCATAATTAATTAGAGCGAAAAAACTTTTACTCTTCCGAGCCAAAGTCGCTTCATGAGGGCGCGTGTTTTTGCACTTCAGTAAATCGGCAAGCGCATTTTTATAGTGAAAGAAAAAGAGGCACGAGGACACTTTTTCACGAAATCGAGATGATACCACCGATACATGGTACTTTTGGAGCCGCATCCAAAGAAATTGAAAGGAATAAGCGAAAATTCTGACGTTACATTATTACAGTGTTAGAAACAAAAGATCATAAATCCTGGTGAGACTGAAGGTAACAAAAAAGCTAGGGTCAAAACGGCGCAAATCCATTTTTCTTTCAAGGGAATGGGCCTGTTGCATGCAAGAGATACAGCCGCGCGAATAGACTTTTTAGAGGTTAAATGACACGAAAATTACGATGATCACATTAAAAAAGTCTGAAATACACTCCTTACTGCGCAATTTGCGTTGTTAGGAACGCGCTTTTTCAAATTTCCCGCGTCTGGGGGCAGTTTTCTAATCACCGGAAACGAGCAAACGGCGGGCTCGGTGATTTCCGGAAGATGTCGAGTCGTTGTTGTTGTTGTTATTTTTTCCTTCAGTTTGTTTACAAACCCAACGTGATCTCTTATAGTGGTCCATATACGCTTTATGCGCTACAGTAGGGAAACGGTCGCGCGATGCTTACGGCGCAGAGATACAACTATTCGTACTCGATGGATGTCCATGTTGCGTCTGTAAAAGTGAAGGCGAAATTGTGTGAAATAATGTTGACCCAGCACTATTTTACCATCTTGTTAAAGAATAGAAACCCTCAGTCAAACACAGAAAAAAACTGAGTGAATGTTCGAAAAACCAACTACCTTACTTTCATTAGTTACCTCTGACTTGCACATGCATTCAGCAATGCTTGCAGTATTTGAACTATATCAATTCCGATACTAAATTTTAGAAAAAGGAAAAAAAAATCCGGATTTGCAATTCTGGCTGACAATTTACTGGCTTTTGGTTTTTAGTCAACTCGGTTGACTCTGCCATTGAAAATTATCATACAAAACATCACAGTGGATACTTCCGAGTTTTTTTGGGCTCAAAAAATTACCTTCAATGGTCTAAAAAAACAAAATTGGTGAAAAATATATACTGCTGTGCTAAGAAGAAACCCCGTGCAAACATTAGAATGTCACCAACGTTTTCTGGATAAAATACTTATTTTAGAGGTACGAAAATGATTTTGAAAGTTTCTGATGATCTTTGATATGATATACTTGCCGACTGAACATGAAAAGAAGTCAAAGAAGACTCACCTCATTTAATCTACCCTACTACTCCTCCATTTCCTACAGAATACTAAGTTAGTATTACTGATAACTTACTAACAGATTACTGATCACTTGATTTGTGTTGTAGTATTACTAACACATCCCTAGATCTACAATGACGCTTCCACCCTCTCATACCTATTATAACTAAAATTACTCTCCAACTTTCTCAGCTCCCTTCCGAGGCCGCAGTATCTTTCAGACAAAACGCCTAATAACCATAAATGTATGTATGTATGTGCCGCTTTTATAGCGCTCTTTGGCGCTCTGCGAGTCTGCGACCCCTAGCCGCCAAAGTCTCCTATCCTCCCTAAGCCCTTCAGGGAGTTGGCAAACCCTCATTTCTTCTAAAACCCCCTGTCGCCACCCTTTCACTGGGCGTCCCCTTCGTCTCCTCCCAGGAGGAATCCAATCAGGCAACTTCTTTAGCAGCCTTTCGTCCTTCATTCTATTGACATGACCATACCAGACAAGCAAAGACATTGAATCAGACAAGTTGTCTGGTCATGACGTCGAATATGATGTCATTTTCGACTCCCATGATCTGACGCACTCTTTCATTGCAGACCGGATCTCTCCTAAGAATTCCTGCAGACCTCCTCCGGAAATCAATCCAGAAAACCATATATATAAAAAAAGAAAAAAAAGACTCACCTGCTGGCACTAGGGGAGTCCAAAGCCGATAGGTTGACGCGATGGTTTTCTACGACGGCAGTAGTCCTTATTTTCTCGTTGGCAGCATCCTGGCCGATAAGAACCTCGGTGCGACCGTTAACGAAAGGGGAGCTGGGCCTTCTTTCAGGCGTCCGTGCGTTATCACTTACACCACTAGTCCTAGCCGAGGACGGAGGGGGTTGGGGCGGGGGAGTCCTACGACTCGTATCACTAACACTTGTAGCACTTGAGGCCGGGGTCGCCGCACTATCACGCGCGTGGACCGCACTATCACTAACACTGGGGGGATGAGTTCTGCTGGTGGTATCACACGAATTCAACGGCGTCGCGTGGACGTCGGGCAGCTCGATCGGAGGGATCTCCTGCTTGAGCTCGATCTCTGTCTCGTCGGTGCTGCTCTGCTGGTGGACCACGTGCCCGTTGCCGATGGCCCGGATGCTCGCTGTCCCGCTGGAATCGCTCGGCGCCGACGCGTTCGAGCCGATCAACGCCTTCGACTGGCTCACCGTGTTCGTCCCGCCGAAATCCTTGGAGTAGTTGGTCACGTAAATCGATTTGTTCTCGATGAACCCGTTCACGTTTTTCACCGTTTCCGAAGCTGTATTCTGCTGATTCAGCTGAAACACACCGGAAAACAAACAATGATTAGCCACAGGAACGACTGGGACAACGCATCAACACCCACATACTCCCGTGCTATGGAAAACGCCATATGAACCTTTGGGAGTTGCCAAATTTCCTTCACTGAAATGCTTATTTTTGAGCAAATTTATGAATGTAATTCCCTGAAATTGTCAGGAACGTTGGGTGAAATTGCGAACAAATGCATCTGAAAAATTGGAAGAAAAATATTCTTAAGTTTACCGGGGAAGTCGTGTTTTATCAAAGGAAATTTGGCAAAGCCTGAGGGTTCATACGACGTTTTTTCTTAGCACAGCAGCATGTGTGAAACAAAGTGTGGCCGAGCTCCGGTAATTGTTGCCAGATAGTGCTTCCAAATTAGCACATTCCACATTTAAGCCCATGTCAAATACACACATTTTATTGCCTAATCTGACCAGTTTAACTCCAGTCCAGTGGTGGGTCGACGCGACGCTATACGTGGAGAATTAATCCCAAGGTCGTGCCACATATATCGTCTCGTAAAGGAGCAGGCAAATCTGCGTATTACCTGCACACCTCCGCTAAAAACAATATTTTTTTCGTTGCTGGTTTCGCTAGGATTGTTCGATAGTTTGCGGCATTAGACATTTGCACAAAGTTGAATATGAACGCACAACACACCAAGTCGTATTTTGGGTCGAAAAATGAGATGGGGGTAGTTTTGAATGCAACAAGTCCTAAATTCTCTCGTAAACATTCAATACAAAACATTCCTGACCCATAAATGGCGTTTCCTCAACGTTGCTTCCGGACCTCTCCTTGCAAGGAAAGTTCATCATTGAATCAGTGGCGTGGCGTGCTTTGCGATACATCGATTGATCTGCCATTTAAGTCCATGTAAAAGGATCAATAAACAGGGTGTTCGCAAAAAACATCTTGATAATCAACTCTTCACCATGGCTTCAACTGGGAAAATATCGACAATCGATCATTCACGCCTCACCACTGCATTAAATCCTTCTTTTCTGAGAAGCAGAGAGGATGAACTTTAGGGCACCACAAACTGCACCACAAACTACTTTCGACTCAAGACTCTTAAATCCAGCCCTGATTGTTGGATATATTTTATTCGAAATATTTGATTTTTTTTTTTTTTTTTTTTTTTTTTTTTTTTTTTTTTTTTTTTTTTTTTGTCGGAAATAAGGAGAAGGAACCAACACCTTCGAATTAGTGAGTTAGTGTTGAAGAAAGAGATAAGAATAACTTTGATGCAATACGATACACATGAATGATAAAAACACAAAAAATCACCTGATGAACTTAAAATTCAATAGAGTTATAAGCCAGTACCACTAGTTAGCCACTGTGGCTTGAGAAATAACACGGGGCAGCGACATCGGTGGTAAATTCGGAGGCAGTGAAAGCGGCACGCGCGTAACTCACACTGAAATGAAGCCGGTTGATGAGTAAAACGAGTACCGCGTGTCAGGATTGTGTGGCATGTGTTTCGCAATGAGCAACGACGCGATAACACCCGATCATGAACATGCGCATATTCAGACATTGCGCCGCGCCGTAAAAAGCTTCTGCAGGAGTGCAGGAGCTTCGGCGTTGAGTTACGCTCTTATATCCACAATTGGAGGACTCATGATTACCCCGTTAAGCAGTACGGAACCAAGCCACATCAGCTATTGCCAAATTCAATTCGGTACTTTAATTTTGTACACTGGACAGTTTTCACAGTCCGTGAAATTTCATGAAATATTTCACGGAAATGTCCAATCTTCCATATTTTCCATTTCACGCCTGCAACCCTGGCCATACTCTGTCTATAAAGGTACTCTACACTGGAAAAAAAAAACACATTGGATCTAGAGTCCAGACTCTTAAAACATCGACAAGAAAAAGTACTCTTGATTTAATCAGAATCTAACTTAAATCAAGAACCAATTAAGCCTCTTAATTTAAGCGGATTTCGTTTTGATTCAAGCAAAAATCCGATTGAATCAAGAGTATTTTTTCTTGTCAATGTTTTCAGGAGTCTGGATTCTAGATCCGATGTGTTTTTTTTTTCCAGTGCATGAAAACGGTTGCTCGGGTTTTCTTGCAAATTTGGCGGTAGCTGAGGTGGCCTGATTCCTTTCTGTTAAACGCAGTCCAATTTTGTCGACTAGGATGAAACACAAGAAACATGTGAAAGATTAGAAATTTCAGTGGATGGACTTTAACGAGACTAAAACTTTTAAAAATCATGAAACATTCATTTCAGTGGCTGGTTTCGCAACCCGCACAATGAAAACCACCTGATTCAATCAATCTTTGAACCGAGAAAAAGGTTTTTGAAATTGTATTCCTCTAAAACTTAATGTTAAAGACAAAGTTTAACAACTAATACAAGTTCAAAATACTTTTTCTCGACTTGGAATATTGGTCGGGAGACAAAGTGTGACTTTTCGAATTCAAAACCACCCCTGACCCACCTGTTTTCAAAATCCGCGTTTCTGTTCAACTCAACTCGGTCCATTTGGCTGTATGCATTTTGCGAATGTTAATGCGGCGTTTTTCTAAGCACGGTTTAAGGATACACTTTCTGAGTGACACAGGACACAGGACACATGCATGGAGCACCTCACTAACTCCTGACTCCTGTTTGTCGGCTATCGGCAAGTCATGGTTATTTTCAAGACCAATAGACCGCATCCTCATCCACCACCACCGCTGACCGACGCATCCACCGCGCTCTGGTCTCCGGCCGAGCCCCCCTTCAATTCGATCAGATACCCCTTCTCTAATATGCTAAACAAAAAAATCGCGTACCTCTCGTGGTGACTCAACGTAGGTACGCCATTCTCGCTTGTGTCCTCTTTGCTCCCTACAGCTCCGCATACCAAAGAGGTGACATCGGATCCTTTCATCCTGGCCCCGCGTCACTGCCGCACAGTGCATCGAGCGTATATGAAAGGTCCGACACAAAAATTTTGGCTATAACTTCAAATTTTGAAGTTTATTTTGGTCAAATATTCTATATCAGGGGGTGATTCTGACAAGAAATTTCCCGAGAAAACCAATGGAACCTTTCTTAAACTTTTTTGTTTCATACTTCCGAAAATATAAGCTTTTAAAGTTTCCAGATTTTGTCCGAATTTTCCTATTGACTCGGTACAGTGTGCGTCACTGCCGTGCTAAAAAAGTACTCCGTATAAGCATTCGCCTGTTGCCAAAGTTCCTCAAATAAAATGCTTACTTAAAGGAAAGTTACGCATATTTGTTTTTGAAAGTTTTAGGTACGCCACACGAAATTGCGAAAAAAATCCTCTACAAATTCCAGAGGCAAAATATTCACGCGTTTCTCAGGTGTACCGTTTTACATCGAGCGAGATTTGAAAACGTTCGATTTTTCATGCGGCATTTTACCTCAGCACAATTGAATAATGCACATTAATATTCGCCTTGTTGGTGTAAGAAAAGCCACATCAGCTAATGCCAACTGAGCAATTTAATTCTTCAAAAGAAACGGATTTCTTTCAAAATTTTAGGGAATTTGCTTCGTGCTATGCAAAATCACACTAGAAAAAAAAAAAACACATTGGATCTAGAGTGCAGACTCTTGAAAACATTGACAAGAAAAAATACTCTTGATTCAATCGGATTTTTGCTTGAATCAAAACAAAATCCGCTTAAATTAAGAGGCTTTGGTTCTTGATTTAAGCTAGATCCTGATTGAATCAAGATTACTTTTTCTTGTCGATGTTTTTAAGAGTCTGGACTCTAGATCCAATAAGTTTTTTCCCCCGGTGTACTGTAATTTGCACCAAAATCCGCATAATCGTTTCCTTGTAAAATATTGAATTGCCCAATTGAATTTGGCAGTACCTGACGTGGCCTGGTCCCTTTCTAGTTTGCGAGGTCCATTTATTTTGAGACCTAACTGAAATTGTTTGAAAATGAGAGTCGGTTTCTCTCTGCGCAACTGGGTCCGAAAGTGTACCGAGGGTAGCGTGTGGCACAACGGGCGGAGGGAGGCTTAAGGGGGAGGGGGGTGACGGTGGATGACAAATCGTGCGAGTACGGCATGGCGAGTCGGGCTTTCGCACTGGACCAAGATCGGGATCAGTCCGGACAGTACATTCCTCATCTCGTGCTCTCTCCGCGGCGCAAAACTAGTCACTAGAGAGCTAGTGGTCCGAAACATGCCAAGAAACAAGATTCCAGGAACGATTATAATTTCCGCTCATTTCATTTTGCAGGCGGTTTATGCCCCCATATTCCTCGTGCGGTCCCCGGCCGTCGGGGTCAGGGACTTACGCTCAAAAACCCGAGCGCCGACTCTCGTCCCCGTCACGTCGCGTCGTCGAGCGGTTTCTAGGTCGGAAACCCCCGCCAGAAACCGTCGCTCCGGACTTGCGAAAAGTTAATGGATTTCGACTTCGGCGGTTTCTCACGTAATCTTGGAGAGGGATAAACAGAACCTCCGATCAGTTTCGTTAGAGTATCTTCACGACAGCCTAACCTTACCTAGAGTACCTACAACCTACACAAGCACGACACATTTATAGTGGAACGGAGATGTTGCATGTGAGAGGAATTTGCAATTTGACTGTTGATTTTAGTGTGAAAGTTCGCGAGAAACACGATAGTGCCACTGATTTTCTCTGAAATCAACTCCCAAGCTCAAAAAAAGCTCTCAAGTTGAGGCCAAAATGGAGGGCATATCCCACGCTATCCTGACAGTCCACCTCTACATCAAGACAAACTCTCTATGCAAAGATAAGGAGCAAATACATTGACAGGGTTGCCGTGTTTTCAGTTTTGGAGTCCTCAAATAAAGTGGCAGCCCTGTCAACGTATTTGCTCCCTATCTTTGCCTGGAGAGTTTGTCTTGATGTAGAGGTGGACTCTCAGGATAGCGTGGGATTTCCCCTCCATTTTGGCCTCAACTTGAGAGCTGATTTTGAGCTTGGGAGTTGATTTCAGAGAAAACCAGTGGCACCATTGTGTTTCTCGCGAACTTTTA